GGTGGAGACTATGAAAAATCTGGAAAAAGAATAGGCCGAGACCTAGCTTTTGATTTCCTGGAGTACCTCTTCTACTTCATCAGTTTTTTCCCCAGTACTGGGGATTGAATCCAGAGGTACTTTACCACTGAGGTGCTTCCACAGCACTTTTTATTTTGAGACTGGGTCTCACTAATTTGCCCAGAATGTCCTTGAACTCGAAATCCTCCTGCCTCCCCCTACTCCTCCTGCCTCCCCCTACAGAGTAGCTGGGATTACAGGTGTGCACCACCAGGCCTGGCTACCCCATCAATGTGGTGTCACCAGAAGGAGTCCTTTTTTCACATCTGGTGCTGATGACTTGCCCACCCACCCACAAGTATGCCAATACATTTTTTAAAAAATAAAGGTTTATTTGATTGATTTGATCCTTCTGTCCTGTGTGAATTCTGGGCATGGTTTACTGTGAGCTGACCCTGCACTCCAGCTCTCTGCCTGCCCATTCTCCTGTTTCTTCATAGAAGTCAGCCCTGGCATCTTCACTGTAGTTCCAATACTGTAAAGGCACTGTTGGACTTTCTCCCTTGTCACACAAGTGGGAGTTTCATTTTCTTCTTTATCCCTTGGAGAGCAGCTAGGTGGTCTTCCAGAGCTTAGAGTGATGAACTACTCCAACTAGAATGAGCCTTGCAGATAGCCCAGTCCAAAGGGGGTGGTTTCACTTTGGTAAACTACAGAAACTTTATGAAAATTGCAGTTCCCCACCCCCCACCTAGGCCCCTCTCACTGTAGTTCTCAGTCTGCACTTTCCCCAAGCTCTGCAGGGTCTCAGACTATGAAACGCTTGTCTGCTAAGGCAACCCCTTTGCAAGGATGAGTCTACCTGGTTTTTCATTGTCCATAGGGAAAATTTTTAGGCCCTGGAATGGCTTGGCCTCTGGCTGCTGACCCCTACCACCCCATCTTTCCTGTTCATCTTCCTGCTGCATTCCTGACATGCTGGCCTCCTCTCTGACTCTCCATGGTGGGGTGTTTCCTTCTACTTGGCAGTTTTCTGATTCTTAAATCAGGGATTTTTCCTATTAGAACACAATTTGGCATCTAACTCTTTTTTTGCTTGCTTTCTCTTGTTCACGTGCACGCGCGCGCGCACACACACACACACACACACACACACACACCCACAGCTGGAGATGGGAATACCCAGAGGTCTCTTAACCATACCCAGTGGTCCAGCCAATCAGGTCTCTGGCTGGCCAAAGCCCTTGGTGCTTCATCTCCCACCCTGCTGCCTCGTCTCTGAGTGTTGCTGGGCACAAGGCCTTGCTGTGCTACTTTGATAAAGTTAAGAGAACCTGGCCTACTTTCTGAGTCCCTAGGCATTTTGCCTTCAGGAAGGGGAGGGGGAGTGGCCTGTTAGGGCATGTAACTGTGCTTCTGCCTGAACAAGGTCTCCAGTGGGATGGAGTGAAAGACTCAAGTGGGATGAGATGAGGTTTGGGGACAGACCCAGGGTGATAAAGGGGAGGAGATTTTAAAACTCCCACTTCCTAATGGATAGTCAGAGTGCTAAAAGCAAGAGGGAATCCAGCCAAAGCAACAGTTCCTGCTACACTGGGGCTGCCCAGCTGCTTCCTTAGCCTTTCCTTCTCCCACTATCTCCTGCTGCCCCAGCTAGATTTCTTTAGGGCAACAAAGTATGGCCAGCCATTCCCTCTTCATATTCACAGGTTTCACAGAATGTCCTTGTAAACCCATGGAGGTGGTAGAGTCACCCCATTGTTTTTTAAAGGGGATCTGAAGTCCAAGAAGGGAAATAGTCTGTCAGAAGTCAAACACATACTTTGGGAAAGAGCCAGGCCTATGGATCTCATCTCCTGGCTTCATGCATAGTGCTCCCCAGTGTTCCCAGGGTGGGCGTCAGACCTTACTAGACTTATTTCACTGGTCCAGTATGTGAGGCACCCTGGGCATGTCTGTTAGATGGTTACCCTTGTTTGGATCCCCTCCTCTTTAGCCTATTGATGGGGGAAAGGTCCCTACCCTAGGGTTATGGGGATGCCTGAATGCATGACACCACCCTAGACAGGTAAGATCAATAGCAGGTTGTAGGTCACATATACTCACAGTCCAGAGGAGGACATCAGACACCATGAATTATCACACAGGACTTGCACTCAGAAATAGCATGTGCAGGAGGCAGGCTTTGAAGTATCAAAAAAGTTAGGATGTCCCCCATTTCCTCCTGGAGGGTGTGATTGGCAGTTCGAATAATTCCAAAGGCAGGTAGAAAAATGAAGCCCACTATTCAAGGATAAGCAGGAACTGTGCCTGGTCCTCTTAATAAAGAGGATTGTTTGAGCAGGGGTCTTATCAGCAGACGGGGAGGAGTACTTGTGTTTCCCTTCTGATTTTTAAAAATATTTATTCTTAAGTTTTAGGTGAACACAATATTTTATATTTATGTGGTGCTGGGGATCGTACCCAGTGCCTCGTGCATGCTAGCTGAGCACTCTTTCACTGCGCCACAACCCTAGCCCTCCCTTCTGATTTTATCAGATGTCAAAACATTTAAGGCCCTCCTGATTTTTTTAGCTGTCAAGTCTACACCCAGTTTTGGGTTAATTGATACCACATACCTGCTCTTTCTTTCTTTACCAGGGATGATCAAATCTAGGGGCACTTAACCACTGAGACACATTCCCAGCCCTTTTAATTTTTTGTTTTTTTAAAATTTTGAGTCAAGGTCTCACTAAGTTGCTTAGGACCTTGCTAAGTTGCTGAAGCTGGGATCCTCTTGCTTCAGCCTCCCCAGTTGCTGGGATTACAGGTGTGAACCACTGCACCTGGCCATACCTGTCCTTTCTGTAATTCATTTCTAAGGTTGTATCTTCCACTTTTCTGAAGTGGCTGTGGTAGATGGTATGTGCATTTAAAAAATTATAATTGTAGGTGGACAACATGCCTTTTTTTTTTTTTTTTTTTTTTTTTTTTTTTTAATGCGGTGCTCAGGATCAAACTCAGTGCCACACACATACTAGGTAAGTGTTCTGCCACTGAGCTATAGCCCCAGCCCGGTATATAAATTTTTAATGTTCTTACTTGGGGGAGGGGAGAAAGAAAATTAGCTACTTTTGCTTGATACTCAATCTCCTCTAGAAATATAGTCTGTGGAATTAAAAACTCTTAGAACTATTGCTCGTCACCCTGCCACCTCCTAATTCTAGGTGAGGTCACCTCCCCAAAGACTGGTTGTATGGTTTGAGAATAGAACATAAAAAATAAAGATTATTTCTTAGGATTCAGAGCATACATAAGTTGAGAGGAGGAAGCACCAATGGAGATAGAACTTAATTTTCAACAGGTATTATTTAAAAATTTTACTCATGGATGTTTACTTCATCAAATAATTAAAAGACATATTGGCATCAACAATGTTTCAGGACAGGACTCAACCCTACAAATATGAAGATTAAAAGAACAATCTGCCCTCAAAGGCTTGTTCCTTTTTATTTTGTTTTATTTTTTATTTTTAATTGCTTTTAATTTTTAAATATATGATATCAGAATGCATCACAATTCTTATTACACATATAGAATACAATTTTTCATATCTCTGTATATAAAGTATGTTCACACCAATTCATGTCTTCATACATGTACTTCGGATAATGATGTCCATCACATTCCACCATCATTGCTAATCCCCTGCCCCCTCCCTTCCCCTCCCACCCCTCTGCCCTATCTAGAGTTCGTTTATTCCTCCCATGCTCCCTCTCCCTACTCCACTATGAGTCAGTCACCTTATATCAGAGAAAACATTTGGCATTTGTTTTTTTGGGATTTGTTTTTGGCATTTTTTTTTTTTTTTTGGCTAACTTCACTTAGCATTATCTTCTCCAACTGCATCCATTTACCTGCAAATGCCATGATTTTATTCTCTCTTATTGCTGAGTAATATTCCATTGTGTATATATGCCACATTTTTTAATCCATTCATCTACTGAAGGGCATCTAGGTTGGTTCCACAGTTTAGCTATTGTGAATTGTGCTGCTATAAACATTGATGTGGCTGTGTCCCTGTAGTATGCTGTTTTTAAGTCCTTTGGGTATAGATTGTGGAGAAGGATAGCTGGGTCAAAGGGGGTTCCATTCCAAGTTTTCCAAGGAATCTCTATACTGCTTTCCAGATTGGCTGCACCAATTTGTAGTCCCACCAGCAATGTATGAGTGTGCCTTTTTCCCTACATCCTCACCAACACTTATTATTGTTTGTCTTCGTAATAGCTGCCATTCTGACTGGAGTGAGATGGTATCTTAGAGTAGTTTTGATTTGCATTTCTCTAATTGCTAGAGATGTGAACATTTTTTTCATATATTTGTTGATTGACAAAGGCTTGTTCCAAAATGAGAAAGGACATGTATAGATAGGTTATGTAGATAATTAGAAAACAGGAGGTGTGGATATGGTACTGTGGGAGTCTAAAAAAGGGCCAGCTGGTGGTCTAGTCTGTCAAGAGGGCTTCCTGGAGGAGATGAGGCGTGAACTGAGTCTTCAACTATGAATGGAGTGGCCCAGGAATGGCAGATTGCTACATCATGCCTCCTGGTATCCACCCCTTCATGTGATCCCCTTCCTTGTGGATTCTGGGTATGGCCTTGGGCCTTGCTTTGACCCACAGGCCATCACCAAATATGATGCAAACAGAAGCCTAAGAAGTGTTTGTACATAGGGACTACTTGTCTTCTTGGAATTTGGTTGCTGTGTGAGGAAGTCTGAGCTAGCCACATGGACAACTGAGGTGTCCCAGTTCACATCAGTCACCATTTGGGATCAGCCACCTCCCAGTTGACTTGCCATACGATCACAGAAGCACGTGTGATTCCAACTGATGCCACATAGAACACAATGAATCATGCCAGATCAACCTGTCAGAAAGTGAAGTCTATGTCCCCTCTTCCTGAATCTCCAGGGCTGGGACTGCTTCAGCTACTAGAGTATGGCAGAGTGATGCTGAGAGTCTTCTACATGTAGGTCTCAGAAGGTCATATAGCTTTGACCTTGTTTGCAGGAGTACTTTCTCCTGGAGCCAGCATGTAAAACATCTGCCTACCCTGTAGCTACCATGCATGGCTCCCAGCTGTTCCTGAGTAAGAAAACTGCTTAGCAGCTGGGACAAGGGCAACTTGTGTTATGTGGTGGTGGAACAATTGGCAAAAATATGATAGAAAATATGCCTGTTATGGTTTGGATATGTTTGAGTGAGTCTCCTGAAAGTTTGTGTGCTAGATGCTTGGTACCCAGCATATCAAGATTTCGAGGTGGCAGGACTTTTAAGAGGTGAGGACTAGTGGAGCATAATTAGTCAAAGGGGTTCCACCCTCATGAATGGTTAGTGGGTCAGGTTTCCTGGGACTGGGTTAGTCGTAACTCACCATTGCTTCCTCTCTCACCACATGATCTCTCTCCTCTGCACTTCTGTCATGTGATGCCATCTACCACATTGTGACACAGCCACAAGACCCTCACCAGATATACTGGTGATATACTGGTATACTGACCAGATACCATCACTAATCTTGGATCTGCAGCCTCCAAAAACTGTAAGCTAAATAAACCTGTTTTCTTTCTGAATTGCCCAGCCTCATGTATTTTCTATAGCAACACAAAATGGATTGAGATAGCACCTGAAAAATCTGTGGACTTGGTTAAAGGAATCTAGAGATGAAATACTATTTGGGTGCTTATACCTGGCATGATAAAGTATAATAAAAGAGAGATGAGCTAAATGGGAAAAGAAAACCAGTTTGGAAAAGAAAACCAGTTCTCATTTCCAGTCTCTTCAGCAGGCAGTGAGGCAGTGGATTCTCAATGTAAGAACTGGCCTAAGCCAGGCTCAGTGACGCCTGCCTGAATCCCAGCAACTCAGGAGGCTGAGATAGGAGGATAGTGAGTTCAAAGCCAGCCTCAGCAAAAGCGAGGTGCTAAGCTGTTGAGAGCCACAGCCGAAGGGGCCCCAGCAAACTTCCAGCTGCCAGCAAACTTCCAGCTGCCGGCTGATGATTGGCTCACAGCGCTAAGCAACTCAGTGAGATCAAACTGTTCTCACTGCTGTGTACAAAATAGGACTGGGGATGTGACTAAGTGGTTGAGTGCTCCTGAGTCTAATCCCCAGTACTAAAGAAAGAGAGAGAGAGAGAGAGAGAGAGAGAGAGAGAGAGAGAGAGAGAGAGAGAGAGAACTGGTCTAAAGAGAAAGGGTAAATCAAGGGTATGTCTGTAGAACCTTTGTTGAGATGCCAGGAAGATTTAAGTGATAATTAGTAGACCTTCTCAACTAAACAAAAGTGTTTCAAAGAATATTAAGGATATTGTTCCACAGCTGAAGTACTGTCTTCTTGAAATTAACCATGTATGTGGCATCTTGCCCACAAAGTGGACCCATAATATTCACAGAAAACCCATAAAATTTTAAAGAGTATTGTATTGGCAATAGCTCCAGCAGTTTGGACTGAAAGGTGCTGAGACAGTTCGAAATGAAAAAGAAGCCTCTGGGTCCCCAGCTTCCTCTGGGCAGGAAGCTGATCCATATACATATGGTTTTTTGCTTAGGGAAAAGACAGGCCTCTCAGAGGACAGGAGTGAGACTCTAAAGGGTGTAACTAAAAGCCTGTCAGAACCACACCCTCTTTAAGTAACACTCCCTGCCACTAGAGTAGTGGTGCTGATTACTTGGGCCTGACTGTGGTTCAGAATGCTTTGGCCCAGGTTTGCTAACGCCTCCCGTTTCTTCCCTTTTTACTGGAGCTCCTATTGGATGCAGCCTACTCTTGCTTCATCGTTGAACACCAGTCACATGGGGCAGATAACTTGTTCAGGGGTTTTTGAGTCAAGAGGAGGCACATCTGAGGAGTGTTCCCAAGAGGACTCAGCCACGTCCAGACCAGCTTCACATTATGAACTCCTGGACTTGGAGCCCGATGGCATAATGGGTAATATTACGGGTATTTTGGGAAGGGTGGGACATTTCACACGTAGGAGGGCTGCACCTCTTTAGGAGGAGAGGGTGGACGGTGTAGACTGCTACACTAAAGGCTCCACATCAACTCCACATCCACTGTGGGCTTGGCCATGGTGGGACTCCAGATAACATGATGGAAGTAGAGATCTCCCGAGTGCCAGCCCATTAGGACTTGCTTCCTGGAAACTGGCTGCCACGTGAGCCCCAGCTAGCCACATGGGCAGACATGAACTAGTGCACTAGCCCACAGCCCTGCCAATTGCCAGATAGATTGCCAGGGAGACCTTCCAGGAAGCAGAGATGAGCTGTCCCAGCTGAGCTCTGAGCAAACTGCTGACCCCAGAATTGTGCCTTTGGTTCTTGGTTGGGGAAGTTTGTTAAACAGCAACAGATATCCAGGTAGGAGAGGAAAGGGAATTTAAGACAGAGGTGGCAAAAGGAGCAAAGTCTTGGAGAAAAAGTAAAGCCAAGTGGAAATAGGAAATGCAGTTCATTTGGGTTGAGAGGAGACCCCGGAAAAATGGGGAAGAGCCTGCGAGGAAGCCCTGTCTGTTTGGACTTGGTAATGGGGAGGCATGGAAGGTTTATGGGGAGGGTGTGAAATGGCCAGATAGACAGACCCTTCAGAACGGTGGTTCTGGGAGGAGGGGGCGGGCAACTGCAGGGCCAGTTGTACCTTCTGCCCGGGGGTGGGGGGGTTCTTTGGTCTTGCAGTCTGTTCAGATCAGAGGAGGGGAGGCAGGCAAGGTGGTTTCTGGGGAGGAAGATGGCACGATAGGCATGAAAAACTATTCCTTGAGGTCATGTCTGTCTTGGTTATTGTTGTCTCTGGGGTTGCCAGGTCCTGGCACAAAGTAGATTCTCAAGAAATATTTTTGAATGATTATAATAAGAAATGAGAGCAAACCAGTGTTGTAGGTGCTGCATATGAGGCAAAAAGCAGGGACTTTGAAGGAGAGTTTGGGGGAAAAAATGGGTGATTTCTGGACAGGGGAAGAAAGGTGTTCCCAGTTGAGGGATGCTCAGAAGCAAAGGGATGGAGGTGTGCAGGGTGCCCGGGCTGTCCGGCTGTCGGGCTGTTGCAGTGCGCACACTGATCATGTGGCTGGAGTATGGGGTGGGGGAAGGAGAGGGCCTGAGATGCAAGTGGGGAGGGAGAAGAACCAGTCACAAAAAACTGGATTTGCTGGGCGCTGTGGCACATGCCTGTAATCCCAGCAGCTCTGGAGGCTAAAGCAGGAGGATTGCACGTTCAAAGCCAGCCTCAGCAACTTAGCAAGGCCCTAAGCAACTCAGCAAGACCCTGTCTCTAAATAAAAAATAATAAGGGCTGAGGATGTAGCTCAGTGATTAAGTGCCCCTGGGTTCAATCCCTGATACTAAAAAGAAAAAAAAAAAAAAAAGACTAGATTTATCAGGCTGAAGAGCTTAGACTATCCAGGTAGCAGTGGGGAGCCACGCAGGGCCCTAAAGAAGTGGAGATGTATGAGGAAGTATTTGGGGGCAACAGGGTGCAGTTGGAGGGATTCATAGGAGTAGATGCAGAGAAATCAGAGCCCAGGGCTGGAGCCCCGATGAAAGGGTGAGGGTCTGATGTGGGGCAGCCGCAGTAGAAGTGGAGATGAGGGGCGGAGGATGCATATCACCTCGGCACTCCCTGGCGCTTGGACCGTCAGCCATGCAGGCTCCCAGGTCTCTGGTGAGGCTGCTCTGAAAAGTGAAAAGAAAGAAGGCAGCTTTGGGGCAAAAGATCATGAATTCAGTGTCGGCGGTGTCGAGCTTGAGGGGCGTGTGGAGCAGAGGAGCGAGGTGGGTGTCTAGTGGTGGTTGCACAGTCGGTAATGAGCACCTGGAGCGCCTGTGTGGACCAGAATAAAACAGGACGCAGGGCAAGTCCCCATATTCAAGGGAGTTTCAGCCAGCAGAAGAGTCTTTGAAGGAGTGGCCAGAGGGGTAGGACCCCAGAGAGGGACACCACATAAACAGGGGCACTTCAGTGAGGAAGTGGGGAGTGCTATGGTGTATTCAAGTGTACCCATCAGATTTGGCCATCAGGAGGTGTGGCAGTCTGGTGAGGATGGTTTCAGGAGAGGACGGGAGCTGAAGTCTGAGGTCATTGTTTCAAAATCATTTATTATAATTTCCTTATAATGTAGGTATCATTTATTATTCATCGTATATTATTATGAATAATATATCATAACATTACAGTAAATAATAAATTATTATTCCTCTTATTATAAATTTATTATTATTTGGAAATGGCAAGGCCAACAGATGAGAGGTGGCCACCACTGAAAAATAATGTGTTATGCTCACAAATCTCCAGAGGAGGCGCATGCCTCCCCAGGGGGAAGCAACAGACACCAGAGGAGGAGACTGGGGGCCAGAGCCTTCTTATGGTCTCTGGGGAAGAAGTGAGCAAGGCATTGTGGACAAGTTTGGGGTCAGCTCGCGACTAAAACACTCAGGGTCACTCGAGGGGAACTGGGCTGCACGAAATAACCACACAAGAGACAGAAATACCTTTTTTTTGGGGGGTGCTGTGGCAGCTCCTCTGACCTTAAGGGTCCACAAAGAGAGAGAGAGAGAGAGAGAGAGAGGGAGAGAGGGGAAAAAGAGAGCGCTGACCCCTTTTATTGAGGAGAAGCCATTCAAATGAGGCAAGGGGTCAGGTTTCAGGGGTTCAGTCTAGCTTCCTGGTGTCTGCTGTCAGGTTGACTGATATCTAGGAAGGCCACACTCAAGGGCAGAGTAAGAGAAGGGGACACACAAAGGGCATTTCCATGGAACATTCTATCCCAAACAGGGCAAGGGGTAATATCACAAAGGAACAGGTGAGCACAGCTCGATCCCTGGGGCTGCAGGAAGGCACGCCTACGCATGAAGACACTTTTATTACTCTCAAGGTTGGAGCTACCATCTTTGGCTACTTAAAAGCAGTGACAGTGCCTCAACCGATCAGGAGAGGAAAACGCTGGTCACAGGATGGGATGGCCTCCCACAGTCGGCTGGTCTGAATCACTTCAGTGGGCTCCGAGGCATAGGCATGGTCCCTGGCTGTCTGGTTGCTGGCCCTGAGGCGAGTAGGGTTGGTGATAATGGCCCCGAGGATGGAACCCCAAGAAAGGATGTGATTGGGGTATGGGCCCTGGATTAGTTGGGGTGGGAGTCTCCTGTTTAGGAACTGGCTAGTCCTGAGAGAGGCAGTCACCCCAGGTGGCAGGGCATCAGAACACAGGGACATGGCCAATGTGGTGGAGGATGGAGGAGGGGCAGGGGGACAGGACGAAGGTGTAAAGCAAAGAGGAACCTTGTCCAGGAAGGGCTGCTGGTGGAGGCCCCTGGGCCCCTTCTCCTGTCAGGGTGCTTGGGCTGGGGAGGTGGGTTGCTGGCTACCACAGTGCAGGAACTGAGAGAGTCACACGGGAGGCCGAGACCTGCTTCTGGTGAGATCTTCTGTGGGCCCGTCTGCTGGGCTGCAGCTCCTGGCAAAGATCCTCGACAACATGCTCTGGGAGGCTGCCTGGACCATCAGCCTCAACCTCAGGGTTCTGATTCGGCTGAGCTCAGCTGTTCTCAGTCTCATGAAGCTGGGGAGGGCCAGGAAGGGCTGCCCAGGGGTGAGAACAGCTGCCCAAGTCCTGACTCAGTCTCTCCGGTTAAAGGAAAAAAAATTAGTAGTTTTTTTTGGAAGGGATAACTATGCCCAGGAATGAATAAGACTCATCCTTGTGGAATGTGAGCAGAGTAACAAATTTTTTTTTTTTAAAAATTGCTTTTGGGGAAAAAATACAGGTCTGTCTGAAGCCATTTCCACCTCCACTTTCCACAGTCAGGGTCCATCTCTGCAAAACCTCTTTATAAGCAGGCCGCTCTCCTCCTGATCTACTCGCTCACCAGATCCCTAACTTCTTGGGAAGAGGCGGAGCCTTTCCCAGCACCCCTTGCCAGCTGGCTTCAGCCAGTAGCAGCAGCAGGCAAATACAGCATCGGGCAGCTCCTCTGGCTGCTGTGCCAAAGTGAGGGCCAGGCAAATTTCAGACGGGAGGAGGAGAAAAACCCGAAGTATTTTCTTTATGTTGGAGGCATTTCTGCTGCTCATGGGAAGGAAGAATAATGCTAATGGGTCTTTTTCCCCCAAAGTGCACTGTGTAGGAGAGTATATAATTTTAATTTATCTGAGTGAGCGCATGAGGAATAGCCCATGAGTCCACATGATGGTGAGTGTGTGTGTGTGTGTGTGTGTGTGTGTGTAGGGGGGGAGGGGTGGGAGGAGATGACGTGTTTGGGATGGGGAGGGTCAGTGGTCAGACTCTTTGTTCACGCAGGTATACCCTCAGCCCTGGACACCTACCTCTCTCTTCAGTTCACCCAGGCAGATCTCTGTCCTGCACTGGAGGAAGGGACAGACCAGGAGTGAGTGACTCCAAGCATGAAATCTTCCTCAGCTAAAATCCTGGGAGCCATCCTTCCTCATCTTCACCTACTTATCCATTTACTCATCCTAGTTTGGGTTCTGTCTGGAAAATGAGCTTTGGAGTCTTTCCAACTTAACTGACACGGCTCTGGCTGTGTAGCCTTCCTTCCCTTCCTCCCTTTTCTCCTCCCCGCCCCTCCCTCCCTCCTTCCCTCCTTCCTTCCTTCCTTCCTTCCTTCCTTCCGTCCTTTCTCCTTTTCTTTCCTTGATATTGAGAATTGATCCCAGGGGCTACATCCAGCCCTTTTTATGTTTTAATTTTGAGACAGGTTTTTGCTGAGTTGCCGAGGCTGGCCTCAAACATGTGATTCTCCTGCCTCAGCCTCCCAAGTTGCTGGGGTTACAGGTCCGCTCCTCTTCTTTCTCGCCTGGACTATTGCAGTAGCCAGATGTCATTCTGCTCTAGTCTCTTCTTCCACATCGCTACCAGAGTAACCTTTTTCCTAAACCACTTTTTTTTTTTTTTTTAATTTTAAATTAAGCTGGGTATG